ACCGAACGGGTGATCTGTCGGCATTGGATTGATTAGTTGTTCTTGCGTGCCCCTTCCTTGTGCGGCATCATGACAGCGCAATTTTGTTCGATGAGTTCTGTTTCGACCAGTTGGAAAAGAAAAACAAGGATAATCAAACTGGCGATTTGTAGACAAGCTGTATTTGATGTTATGCAGTTTAATGCTCGTGATCCATATTTTGTGGCTGATCCGAATACTTTCCCCGCGTTTGGCTGGTTTGATAACCTCGATGATTGTGCGCGAAACCCATGCCCGTTTCAGGGGAACTCGGAGGAGCAGGTCAGTGTATTGTTGAGTTCCTTATCGGTGCCAACTGCTGGGCCAACTGATCGTGGAGAAGCTTTCTCGTCTCATTCGGTTGCGTATTCTCCAGATGTGGTGCAGTCTCCAGATGGTGGGCTGCAGTCGAGACTGGGCTCTGTTTCTTTTGATCCTGGTGTTCAGAATGAGGAGTTGCAGGACGAGGAGTTGCAGGATGAGGATTTGCAGAGTGAGGAGGTGCTGAATGAGAAGTTGCATTATTCTCAGCATACTGTTTTCTTGGATTCAAGCTCTGAAGTTTGCCACGCTCCATTTCCTGACACTCTGTCGGCTTCTGTTGACCCAGGTGTTCGGAAAGAGGATTTGCATGATGAGGAGGCACGAAGAAGCCCCGCGAGTCCCCGTAACCAGACGCCGTCTTGGTTACCGCCGGGTCGTAAAGATAACTGTGCATCTTCTTCCCGGCTCTGTTCAGATGAGTTGCAGAGCAATCGATCTGAGTGTCAAGCTGCCAGGGACTGGGCCCGTGCCAATGACGATGCAGTTGCTCTTTGGCGGGAATTCGAACGGCTCCCGAAAGAGGAGTTTTGGGCTCGGATCGAGGCGCTCAACGCATGCAAACTTCGAATGGGAATTGAGAGTCCCGAGGAGGCGCCGAGTCCTGAGGAGGATGCTGGCCGTGGGAAAGGCCAGAGGCACCGCAGAAACAGGAGGCGGGCAAGGGCGAAGGCTCAGGCAGTTCTAACTGGCTCTTCTATGTCAAAGTCGGCCCATCCATCTACTTGCGATCCTCCCCAACCTCCGTCCTCTTTTCACGATTCAGTTTCTTCCGCTCTACCCGCCCCAAGTGTGCCCTTGTTGCCCGAAGGCGACAAGGAGGCGGAGGTGGATGAGTTGCATAACAATCAATCAGAGTGCGATGAGGACGCTGATTCGGATGCGGCCTTCCACGCATGGGATAAAATGGCCACCCAGCGAGTGAGGGCAAATTTCTATTTGAAGAAGGCTGCTCTGCACCGTTTGTGTGAGGCTTTGCACCGTGATGGGGGGGGGGACGCGGACATCCAGAGAACCTGTGGGCTGTGTCGGTTGGACAAGATAAGGATGCACCGTATTGCAGGGTGGTGCTTCGGACATTGGCGGTGCTTGACATTCTATTCAAGTGGTGCTCAACGGTTGATTGAACAACGCTTGCAGAGCCACATTAGGCACCTTCGGGTAACCTTTTGGCCTTAACTGTGACCTTATGCACCACAGACTTTATGCACCACAGACTCGTTCCCAATAGCGTTACGAAGCTATGTCCATACCTCTCTTATTGTATATGCGAGTACAACAAAATTAGACGGCCTCCGTGGATTCTTCGACGGAGGGCGCTCTGTGGAGGGATGTGCCTCCATTGACGGCTCTGTATGGCCGTGGTGCACGTTTTGGGTAGCCTCTTTCATTTCTAACCTGTTCCTACACCTTTGCAATTTCACATGTCGTGCTGCATCCTTTTCCTTGTTCCTGCATCCTATTCCGATGCCTATGCCTCAGTGGCTCGGCAGTGTGATGATAAGATATGCCTTCTCTAGCTACCCTGTGCTCCGTTTGGGAGTCTTAGGGCTCAGCTGTCACAGCTGTCCGCGCCCTGACTCAAACTCAAAAACCAAGGTTGACGGTTTGCCGCCAGCTCCCAGTTCGGGCGCGGGGTGCAGCTAGTTCGCCCACCCGGCCCGGGCGGACAATGTGACAACCTGGAGTCGTTTTTTTGGAAGATTGTGGGAGATTTTAAAAGTCGCTTTGGGAAAAGTGTCACACTGAGCCTGAGCATAGCAGCTTCCTTCTGAGAGAAGATCAGCTCTTTTCCGGGAGTTTTACTATTGGTTCACTTCCAGCAACCGATATTATGTTGGGTAAAAAATTGTTTTGAAGTTTTAAGAAAATGTTCTCGGTAGCTCCCTGATTCGATTCTGAGTACTTCTGCGAGTGCCAGGGGTTTTAATGTCGCGTCTGCCTGTCGAGTCATCCGCAGCTGCAATATTATTCTCAAAAGACGATTTTCGGAGATTATGATCAGTTTCTTGACTTATCTCAGGCTGCAGATGACAGCAATCGAAAGAACATCATCAGGTGCGATAGTCTTAGGTATCTAGACGCCTGAATTCGGTTTGTTATCAGTGCTCGATCTGAAAAACTGTTTCTACTGTGCTAATTTGTTAGAGATAGTGATGCTGTTCGTCACTTAAATCGAGCTGCGCACGAGCTACAGAGCTGTTCGGCGCATACTTCGGAAGGGAATCATCAAGCTCGTTAGCTGAAAGTATCTAGACGTCTGAACTCAGTCTGCCATCAGAGCTGGGGAAAAACTATTCGTACTCTGCTGTTTTTTAGAAATGATGATGGTTTTCTTGACTAAACTTGAGCTGCAGACGAGCTGAAGAACTATTCGGCACAGCAATCAGAAGAAGATCATCATACGTGCGAGTCTAAAGTATCGAAACGCCTGAACTCGATCTGCTATCATAGCTGGGTTCGAACAACTATTCGTACTCTGCTGTTTTTTAGAGCGATTGATGATTTGGGAAAGGAGAACGAATGTTTACACATGCGCAGGTCCACACAGCCGCGGCCACGGCCACGGCCAGCCACGGCCGCGGCCACGGCCACGGCCACGCCACGCATTGCACGAGGAAGCTCTACGAGTTCCCGGCGGTACCCTCCCTTGGTTGCCGTCGGGGACTCCTCGAGCCGCATCGTGCGGATAGGTGCTTACACACTCGTGTATCTTACTGGCCCGAGCGCACCTCTCTGTTCTGATCAGTTGTTCTTGCGTGCCCCTTCGTTGTGCGGCATCATGACAGTGCAATTTTGTTCGATTAGTTCTGTTTCGACCAGTTGGAAAAGAAAAACGAGGAGGGTCAAACTGGCGATTTGCAGACAAGCTGTATTTGATGTTATGCAGGTTCACGCTCGTGATTCATATTTTGTGGCTGATCCGAACACTTTCCCCGCGTTTGGCTGGTTTGATAACCTCGATGATTGTGCGCGAAACCCATGCCCTTTTCAGGGGAACTCGGAGGAGCAGGTCAATCTATTGTTGAGTTTCTTATCGGTGCGAGAGCCGAAGACCAGTCAAAAAGATGAGAACTTGGACTTGCATCTGACTACTGAAGTTGCTTATGTTGTTTTGCAGAACCTTTTGCCGCCGGCTGGCTCTGATTATTCGCAGAGACAGGAGCACATCATGATGTTCCCGATTCAAAGGTTCCCGCTGTATCCGTTTCGCCAGTGTCATCGTTCTCAGACAGAATTTTGGAGTCCCAGGGGAGTGCATCGCATTCTTTACAAGTTGCATGTGATATGAGGTGGCCAGCGCCTACACCTGAGGAGGAGGAGGAAGGATATTGCCATCGCGCTCGTAAGTCGTCGTCGTCGTCGTCGCACATTTCTTCAGATGAGTTGCAGACCAATCAATCTGAGTGTCAAGCTGCCAGGGACTGGACCCTTGCCAATGACGATGCAGTTGCTGTTTGGCGGGAATTCGAACGGCTCCCGAAAGATGAGTTTCTTGCTAGGATCGAGGCGCTCAAGGCATACAAACTTCGAATGGGAATTGAGAGTTCCGAGGAGGCGCCGAGTCCTGAGGAGGATGCTGGCCGTGGGAAAGGCCAGAGGCACCGCAGAAACAGGGGGCGGGCAAGGGCGAAGGCTCAGGCAGTTCTAACTGGCTCTTCTATGTCAAAGTCGGCCCATCCATCTACTTGCGATCCCCCCCAACCTCCGTCCTCTTTTCACGATTCAGTTTCTTCAGCTCTACCCGTCCCAATTGTGCCCTTCTGGCCCGAAGGCGACAAGGAGGCGGAGGTGGATGTGTTGCATACCAATCAATCAGAGTGCGAGGAGGACGCTGATTCGGATGCGGCCTTCCACGCATGGGATAAAATGGCCACCCAGCGAGAGAGGGCAAATTTCTACTTGAAGCAGGCTGCTCTGCACCGTTTGTGTGAGGCTTTGCACCGTGATGGGGAGGAGGGCGCGGACATCCAGAGACTCTGGGAGCAGTGTCGGTTGGACAAGATAAGGATGCACCGTATTGCAGGGTGGTGCTTCGGGCATTGGCGGTGCTTGACATTCTATTCAAGTGGTGCTCAACGGTTGATGGAACAATGCATGCAGCACCACATTATGAACCTCCGTGTAACCTTTAGGCCTTAACTGTGGTTTTGCCGTTTCCGATCTTGGATGGATGGATGGAGGATCCAACTTGCTGTTCAAGACTTTAACTTTGCTACGCCTGTGATATACAACGTAAGCATGAACTAGTCGGCCTCCACGGTTTCTTCCTTGGAGGGCGGTCTGTGGAGGGATATGCTGCTGATCGGCTGTTGCTTTGATCAATGCAGAGAAACGGCATTGTATGGCCGTGGAACACGTTTCGGGTAGCGTCTCAACCAGCTCTTACACCATTCTCTAACCAGCTCCAACACCTTTGCAATTTCACATGTTGTGGGTGGATTGCGTTTGCTCTCCTTCTTGTCATCGCGTTGCAGTTTTCATTTGAACGTTGCTTCATTCGAGAGTGTCTCATCACGGTGTGTTGCATTCCGATGCCTATGCCATTCTGGCTCGGCAGTGTGATGATAGGAGTTGGCCTCCTTAGTTCCCCAGTGCTCCGCCTTGAGGCTGAGGGCTCAGTTGTCACAGCTGTCCGCGCCCTGACTAAAACTCAAAAACCAAGCTTGACGGTTTACCGCCGGCTCCCAGTTGGCGTGAAAGAGCTCTACGAGGGTCCCGGCGGTAACCTGGTTGACGGTTTACCGCCGGCTGCCAGTGCCTCGTAGAGCTCTTCGGCATCTATGAGCTAGACGAATACCTCGTAGAGCTCTCCTGCATCGACGAGCTAGAGGAATTCCGGCGCGGGGTGCAGCTAGTACCTCGTAGAGCTTCGGCACCGATGAGCTAGAGGAATTCCGGCATGGGATGCAGCTAATTGGCCAATCCGGCCCGAACGGACAATGTGACAACCTGGCGTCGGGTTTTCCGACATTGTGACAGATTTGAAAATTCGTTGTGGGAATTTAGATTTTGGTCTGTACGGTGCAATTCGATCATGACGCGCTCAATGGTGCAATTCTCAGGGCTGTACGCCGCAAAATACGTTTAGCGAGTTTGCAGGTACAATCGAGAATACTGTTCGCTTGTTTTCTTGGCATTGATTTGGTGTGTTCAGAGCTCTACGAGGGTTCCGGCGGTAACCTGGTTGACGGTTTACCGCCGGCTCCCAGTTGGCCCATCCGGCCCGGACGGACAATGTGACAACTTGGGGTCAGTTGTTTGACGATTCTGGGAGATTGGACAGTTCGTTTTAAGACCTTTTTTTTCGCACCTAGTGGGTTATGCCACGTCCTGTGAAATTCTCAGGTCCGTAGCTGCAGTATTACTACCAAAACACTTGGCGAAACCAACTTTGAATAAAATCCGAAGAACGTGTTTTTCGAGTTTTTCAGCTCTTGCTTCAGACAGCTTCCTCCATGCGTTCCCAGCAGCGCCGCGCGAGAAAAGAGCTCTACGAGGCTTCCCACGGTAATCTCGTTGACGGTTTGCCGCCGGCTGCCAGTACCTCATAGAGCTCATCAGCATCGATGGGCTAGACTCCGTCGCTGCAGCTAGTTGGCCGACCTCGTCCGGGCGGACAATGTGATGACCTGGCGAAGACTGTGAGAGATTTGACCATTCGTTTTGGGAAAAACGATCTTCATTCCCTGTAGTGGATAATGGGGCCTTCGGCGGTGAAGCTCTCGGGGCTCTAGCTGCAGTGCAGCCCTTGAGAAATTAAAGGAACCACCGGCCGTGCAAGAGACAAGAAAACCATCACTATCTTGAGAAAAGTAGTTGATTACGAAAAGTTTTTCGGTCCCAGCTCTGATAGCATATCGAGTTCAGGCGTCTGGATACTTTAAGCTAGCGCGTCAGATGATTCCCTTTCAATTAATATTCAAAATAGCTCTGTAGCTCATCTCCACCTTGAGTTAAGTAACCATCATCAACTCAAAAAATAGTAGAGTGCGAATAGTTTCGCGGACCTAGCTCTGGTATCAGACCGAGTTGAGACATCCAGATGCTTAAGACTTACGCGCCTGACGATTCTAGATCGATTAGGTGTGCCTACCAGCTCTGTAGCTCTTTTACAGCTCGAGTTAAGTACGGAAAACCAACAGCACCTGCCAAGATGACACGGAGAGGCCGATCCCGCCCCAGTGCTTTTTGGTAGTAACTGGTACCCGATCGAGCTGATATTGAGATGGGTAAGATCGAATATGAGAAGAGACAATACTAGAGCTCAAACGAATAAATATTATTTAAACCGAGCAGAATTACGCGCAACTTCCGTCGATATTTCTTTGCCAACTAGCCCCCCAGCGCGCCGGAATTACTCTCTAGCTTCGCCGCTAACGCCCTTGGGCAAGCTCTACGAGTCATGCTTGAACTCTTTCATTCGCTTCACTTGACTCGAGCTGGAGATGGGCTACAGAGCTACAGGAATCGGAGGGAAATCATCAGACGCGCTAGCTTAAAGTAGCATGTCGACGCCTGAACTCGGTCTGCTGTCAGAGCTCGGTCCGCAAAACTATTGGTATTCTGCTATCTTTTTAGAGCTGGCTTTTTTTGGGGGGGCCTGAACTGGAGCTGCAGACTAGCTGCAGAACTGTTCGGCACTGTTTGTCACATAATTCGAAAGAAAATCATAAGACGCGCTAGTCTAATGTATCTAGATGCCTGAATTAGGTCTGCTACCAGAGCTGGGTCAGAACAAACTATTCGTACTCTGCTAAAGTTTATACAGATAATGGTAACTTTCTTGACGTAACTCGAGCTGCAGGAGAGCTACAGAGCTGTTTTGCACAGAATCGGAGGAATGTATCAGACGCGCTAGTTACAAGTATCCAGATGCCCAAAATCGTCACGCTTTGAGAGTTGGAACCAGAAAACTATTCGTATTCTTATTAATTGTTCCGGAAGTGTTTTCTCCTCGCTTCTTCTTGTCCTCCACGTCCTCCTCCATGAGACCGCGCCCTCGCGCGCGCAATGCGAGATTGCCGCGCCCCCATTGCTGCGAGATCCCGGCGGTGACGAAGGTTGACGGTTGACCCCCGGCTCCCAGTTATGAGCATTTTCAGCGGGTTTTTGTCTGCCAGTGAAATTCTCAGGTTCGTAGCTGCAGTATTGCTATCGAAACATTGGCAGAACCGACGTCGTATATCATTCGAAAACTAAATTTTACGAGTATTGAAGCTAACATTCAAGACCGCTCTCTCCTCGTCATCTGCGCGCTGATTTGCGTGTCGAGAGCACTACAATGGTTCCAGCGGAAACCTGGTTGACGGTTTACCGCCTTTTCCCAGTTCCGGCGCGGGGTGCAGCTAGTTGGCCGACCCGGCCCGGGCGGACAATACCTCGTAGAGCTCTTCGGCATCGATGAGCTAGAGGAATGCCGGCGCGGGGTGGAGCTAGTTGGCCAACCCGGCCCGGGCGGACAATGTGATGACCTGGGGTCGTTTTTTTTCAAGATTGTGAGATATTTGAAAATTCGTTTCGGGAGCTACTTTTTTTGTAGCGTGGAGTGGGTTGTGCCATGTTTGCCCGTCGAATTCTCAGGTCCGTAGCTGCAATATTGCTGTCGAAAAACGTGGAGGAACCGTCGGCGGTCGGGGTGTATTTTCCAAAGTGAGAATAGTCTCGTGCATATGACACAAGATAGAAGCAAGCTGCACAACTCAAGTATTCTCTGCGTGTGTAATAGGTTATTGCGCGTCGATCTGTTGAACTCTAAGGTCTTCAGCTGATATAGCCGTAAAGCATTGCGGAATAACTTCGTACTATAGTGAAATATTGTTTTTTATTTATGCTCAGTTATATTTACTTGAGATTTATTCTCGGCATCTGTAGACTATTCCCTGAGTCCAGAGCTCTACGAGGGTCCCGGCGGTAACCTGGTTTCCTCCCTCCTTAGGGATCTGGAGGCTGGGGGCTCCCGTCTGGGGCCTTCGTCTCGAGCGGCATTGTGCCGTGCCTGCTTCTGGGTTCTATTTACCGTACACGGTGCTCCAGTGGCTGTTTTGCCTGAGTGCCGTGCGCATTCATTGATTGTCGGAGTGCACATTGACTGTTGAGATTGTTGGAGTACCGTGCGCATTCATTGATTGTCGGAGCACTGTACACATTCATTGATTGTCGGAGAACACAATCATTCAGTTGACGAAGTCATTGATTGTGGAAGCACGCATTCGTTGATTGTCGGAGTACACATTCATTGACTTTCGGAGCACCGTACACATTCATTGGTTATCGGAGTGCACATTCATTGATTGTCGGAGTACACGATATTGTGAATCACGACGTCGTGGCTCGGATTCAGAGAGCCTGCCAGAGGGTGGGGCAAGTTCTTGATAGAGCTCGAGAGAGAATATGGGAGAGAGTATCGTCAACTCACGTGCCGGAGGTGTCGTTGTGTGAGATATTCATTGAGGACACGCTGTTGGTGTGAATGCAGACTGGGGATTGCCAATCGTTTGAAATGGCGACGGCAGCTCATAGTAAGAGGTCGGAGGTGGAGAAGATTAGCGAGAGGAAGAGGGCGAGTGTGGGGGCGGAGAACGGGGGAGGAGGGAGCTCATCGAACTCAGGGGATCTATTTGCAGAGTTCAGGAAGTTTCAGCAGATGTTGCCCACGATCGTTGCGACGGCGGTACATGATGCGGTGGAGGGAGTTCGGCAGGATGTCAAAACAGTGGACAGTAAAGTGACACAAATTGGCGGAGGCGCTGCTCTTTGATCTTTCTGATCGTTACTCATATGAACTCATGCAAGCTTTCGACGATGACAAGGAGACATTAAACATTGAGTCATTGATAGCTGATAATTGATAATTCGTTGCATGAGGTCTTACTTTTCCTTGCCTCGAGTGGAGTGCAAAATCCAGTGTGTATCCCGCAATTCATGCAAGTTCGATGATGACCAGAAGACATTCAGCATTGAGTCATTCATAACTGGTAATTGATAATTCATTGCATGAGGTCTTACTTTTCTTTGCCTCGAGTGGTGTGCAGAATGCATTGTGTATCCTTCAATTCATGCAAGTTCGAGGATGACAAGAAGACATTCAACATTGAGTCATCCATAACTGATAACTGATAACTCATTGCATGAGGTCTTACTTTTCTCTGCCTCGAGTGGAGTGCAGAATTCATTGTGTATCCTGAGAAGACTCGTTTGGAGTGCCGTACTTCCTTTTGTATTCGGTTGCCTCAGCCACCCTGGCTCGGCAATCTCGGTACTACTGCTCACTTTTCGGCCTCGTTTGGAGAGCTTGACGTTGCGTGACTGCGTGACGGGGATCCTGTTAGTGGGGCCGCAGGTGTTCGAATCCGACATGCCTAAGCCACGTTGGCTCGCCGCGTGTCATTCTAGATGCCTCAAAGCAGGTCCTTGCCCGCGTCCTTGTTTTGTACTCTTGTACAGCTCAACGAGTGTCGCAGTTTTCTTGGCTTCTTGTGAGCCCGCTTGCTGCCCCATGAGGGCCTGATTAGCGAGACCGCAAACCGCAACAAAAAACCTGGTTGACGGTTTACCGCCAGCTCCTAGTGTGGCAACCTGGCGTCGGTTTTTTGAAGATTGTGAGAGATTTGAAAATTCGTTTTGGAGACCAGTAGATTTCGCACCTTTAGTGGGTTAT